GATCTTCCTGTCTCTCCTTTGCATATCCACCTTTCCAATAAAAATAAATTAATCTTAAAAAAAGAACCCAAACCCATTGCATATATAAAGATATGTATTCTCTCTATAATTACATTGATTTTCTCTAAGTTAATTTAAGTAAGTGCAGCTTTATCATGTAGTAGTTCCTAAGTGGTTAAATTGGTTATGGGTTAGAGGTAGCCAAAGAAAAACTATTAAGAAATTTAAGAGAGTGTTCGTAGATGAGCATATTTACTCAGAACCAAGTAGACATTTATTAATTATGTATTTTAAATGATTTCCTATTGCCTGACTTCTTGAGAGTGTTAATATTTTACATCCAAATATCTATATGTATGTGATTTAGGAATTTTTCCACCCAGAATTGTGCTTAATTGCCTCTTTGAATGACGAAGAACCTTAATTGCCAAGATGCAATTTAAAGTCTAACATGAGCAAATGAAATTATGCCGTTGAGTTTTTGGTGTTTCTGATGTGCCTCCAAAAATCTCTTCTTTCTCTTCCATCGTCACTTTTCAGTATACTTTATTCTCTCTCTCTCTTATTTTTTTTAATTTAATTTCTTTTTAATTATATTTTCTAACAGTGACTGAATATAGTATCATAGCTGTATCTCAGGTTGCTCTCTACAAAGTCTTCTGTAGCACATAAAATAAAAAATTCTGGCATATGTAATTTTAAAAACACACATTGAACAGATTTGATGTGAATGCAACATCAGCAAAGCAAGACTGGTCTCTGCTGTGTCTCCAGAGACTGTAACTCAAAGGGTAGTTGACTTTATTGGCTATGGTTGGCAGCTTCTTCTTAGGTTGCTTGAATAAATTTGGGTATTAATACGCTTCCTGTCTATTTACAGAGAATTACTGTTCTGTCTGCCTCAGGAGAATGCTTTATTTCCAGATTTAACTCAGCACAATATCATGGGCCCCAACTTGTGAGTTAGGCATCCCATTTACAAAGCATGTCTTGACTTAATGAATACATGTTCAACTCCCTGAGCAGCATGCTCAGTAGGATACACAGTAGGATACATAGACGTCTCCATAGAGTGTTTTCTGTGAGCCCCAAAATACCTAATGTCACAGTAAGAGAAAGGAGAGAGAAACTTACAATGGAACTGGGTGGGATCATGTCATTTTTCCAAAGTTCCCTACAGAGTAAGTGTGGTATTAAGGGAAATACATGAACGGACTTCCGTTGTACATATGCAGATGCTTGAGGTATCTTCATATCCACCACAGCCATGTGAGATGGATGGTATCACCCACATTAGAAAGAAGAGGAATAATCCCTTTGAACTAGTACATCCGCTTCTAATAATTATTGGAATTGATAAAAATTATATATATGAGCAAGACAATCAAAACAGTGGCTAGGGGAGATTACAGAGGACTGAACAAAGATGGGCAGTAATCTTTACTTGTATGGGGCAAAAGTGAGAGAAATCGAGACTAGATTCCCAAAATTCTGCCTAGATTAAGTATTTAGGCAAATTTTGAAATTATTCACTGAGAATGGAACCCCAAAGAGAAATCACATGTGAAGGCAAAGGTAACACAGATTTAAACATATGCTTTTTTAAAAAGAGATTTATTAATTTTTATTGCAAAGTCAGATTTACAGAGAGAAAGAGAGACAGAGAAAAAGATCTTCCATCCACTGGTTTACTCCCCATGTGGCCAAAACAGTTGGAGCTGAGCCAATCCAAAGTCAGGAGCCAAGAAGAGCTGCTTCTGGATCTCCCAAATGGGTTATAGGGTCCCAAGGCTTTGGGTCATTCTCAACTGCTTTCCCAGGCCACAAGCAGGGAGCTGGATGAGAAGTGAAGCAGCTGGGGCGTGAACCAGCACCTACAAGGGATTCCAACAAATGCAAAATAAGGTTTTAGCCCCTGAAGCAGAATCTTACAAAAAATGATTTTGTCATTGAACCCACCTTCTGGATAAGATTGTCCCCAAAGAGAGTTCATGGAGTACAGAAGTGAAGAGGACAAAGAGCAGAACCCTAAAATTTTAACAGGAACAAAAGGTTCCCACAAAGAGGTACAGGAGGGGCCCAGCAAAATAGTGTACTAGTTAAAGTCCTCGCCTTGCACACGGTGGGATCCCATATGGACGCCGGTTCTAGTCCCAGCAGCTCCACTTCTCATCCAGCTCCCTGCCTGTGGCCTGGGAAAGCAGTCAAGGATGGCCCAAAGCCTTGGGACCCTGCACCTACATGGGAGACCTGGAAGCGGCTCCTGGTTCCTGGCTTCGGATTTGGTACAGCACTGGCCATTGCGGCTGCTTGGGGAGTGAAGCATCGGATGTAAGATCTTCCTCTCTGTCTCACCCCCCTCTCTGTATATCCACCTTTCCAATAAAAAGAAATAAACCTTTAAAAAAAAGTACAGGAGGACAAAAATCTGTGTCAAAACAAAACAAAACAAAAACTAAATATTTAGGGGAAAGTCAACAGAGTAAAATGGTGCATTCACGGAATTTGTAATCCAGCTGAGAAGAAATTGCCTCAACAGGTTAAAAAAAGAAAAAGGTCAGAGAACAATTGCCCATGATTATACTTGATAGTGGATCACAAAAGATACGGACAGTACTTATGAAAGTGAAAAAAAAAAGAAGGGGAGAATGAAACTGACCTGAAACTTGGGGAAGGTAATGGAATTTTACTGGGCCTGAAATGTGGGTAGAATTGAAATGGGAATAGGTCATTGCAACCGAAAGAGTGAGATTGTTTAGGTTCATTCTCATGCTTGAACATAACTGAAGGTGAGATTCCTGTTGATAGCAGAAGTGTCATCTTTGAATAGTGAATACAGTATTTGGACCTCTTTAAGTCATAGCAGTTACTGGTTCAACACTATCACATAAAATTGGACGTGGTGGTTCCTGATTCATGTGCAAGATTAATACCAAGGAAGTCATGACAAGAAAGCAGTATGACTTATGAGTGTGGTTTATTCCAAAAACACAGAAGTGTAGGACTTTTAGATGATTCAAGTTAATGCTAATGGGAAAAGACAGGTGTTGGTTTATATAGCCTCTTAATTTTATGGTAGCTGATTCTGAATTCCTTATGATTTAATGTAGCTGTTGTTACCCATGAAGTTGCAGATTCCCTGACTTGTCTTTTCTCAGTCTTGTGAGGTTGAAACTGGGGGTGTGTGGAAGGAAGGCGAGATAAAGGGGAGATGTCCTTGTGCCCTTCCTGTCCCTTCTCCATCTTCCAATCCCCATCCCATCCCATCCCATCCCATCCCATCCCATCCCATCCCATCCCATCCCATCCACCTATTCCTTCTTGAAGGTACTTGACCTGCAATGGGGCAGGAGCAGTAACTCTTAATTTATCTGAAGGAATGCTGTAAGGACAGAAACAGTCATGACCTTGAAAAGATAGCTTGTCAAAACTGATGTGTATGTGAGTCAGCCCACAGATCTGTCATAGTGATTGCTTCTCCGATCCCACACCATATCTGCAGAGAAGGTGATGCCAAGTAAGCAAAAGTCACGAGAAAACTAGGTCCCAGTAACTAGCCCTGTCACTTTCCACTCTATAGGATCTTATTTAAGCCTCTTAAACTCTAGTAGTCACTGTCTTCTCAGTAGAACTTTTTTGAACAAACAGCATGTGCTTCTTATCCTAACCTTGTTTCTGAGCATCTGGACCTTCCATTCCAACACTTGATCTCCACAGTGCCATTTCCTCTGATTCAGTCATTGGTGCTGATTTATTTTGATTGTGTAGCAGTTAACCCTCCCAACACTAAGTTACTCCCATTCTCCTTCTCTTAGTGCATACTTGAAGACCTTGAAATCCACCCCTAAGAATGAAATACAAAAAACAATTTACTAAGTGCTTATTATGTGCCAGGCTTTTACTTTGCCTGAAATTTCTTTTCCACAAACCACAGACTGTTCTCACAGAGGAGAAATTACAAACCTTTTGCGGCTGAGACCATTGGAAATTACATTTCTATTAAAAGCTGACTGTGGCTGGATACATCCATCTCAGGTACAAATCCAAATGACACAATAAACCTATTCAAAGACATAAAGCTATTAAATAAAATACCATTAAATATCTTCCACTCAGTGTTAACAAAACACAACTATAAATTTTCTTTGGCATCTTGCAATTCACTGGTTCTCCTTGGGTTATGCATATGCAACTGGACTGTTGTTGCCCAGCCCCAGCAAAGAGGCTATCAGGAATGCATGACCCTTGGAGAGGTGATGGTTTCAGTTTTCTCAGATCATGACTTATGAATTCAGGAATGCTGGGTTTCTTTGAGCACTGATTACTAAAACTGTCCTCTACCTGCTGTTTAAGTACAATGCTAATGCAGTGCTAAAGTTCCATGATTCACACACTTGAGATCAGGAGGCCCAGCCATAAGTGCTGTGGTAGTAATTCAAGGATGGGAATCCACGTGCATTCTGTGAACTTTGAGACTGCCTCACAGCTTCTTACATGGAACCAGACACTTGCAAGTATTGCTTTCTTGCTTAAAAAAGGGGGGAGGAGGAAGGGTGGGTGAGGGAAGGGGTAGAATGGAATGGAAGAGTTGAAAGTAGTCTAGTTGCATCCTGTGAGTACAGTTTACATATGGCCATTCACCTAAACCACAAGTCCAGAGGAAATCAACATTAAGGCCCACATATGTTTCATTGGACTTGTCAGGATTCCCTTTTGCCTTGCAAGCCAACTCCTAAATCAGGATGCACCCTGTCTCTTGAATGCTGGCCCACATAGAATGATTTCCAAGTAGAAATGACTGGCATGCTAGTAGGGAGAAGCATCTAGAATTTGCCCAGAACTTATGGTGAGTAAGTGTTGATTCCACAGGTGAGTCAGTTACTTTGTTTCTTAGACCCAAGTGCCATTTTTTGAGAGTAACCTGTCCCATCCTCAGAAGATGTTCTCCCCTGGCAGAGACTCATCCCTATGGCTTCTGACACTCTGTGCTGTCCTCCCAGGAAACAGCATCCTGCATTCAGCTGCTGATAGTGTGACTAGTGCAGTGCAGAAGGCCAGCCAGGCATTGAATGAGCGTGGAGAGCGGCTAGGCCGAGCGGAGGAGAAGACGGAAGACTTGAAGAACAGTGCCCAGCAGTTTGCGGAGACAGCACACAAGGTGAGGCAACAAAGGGGCAGGGCTCCCAGCTCCACATCTGGGGTGCTGTGGTGCCAGGAAAACCCCATGTAGTATGTTGCTGGTGGTGGGAGATAACAGTTTCAAGTTTTTTCCCTGACCTTCAAGCAGTCTCCATCTGCTCCTTATTAAGTACCAGAGTCTTAGGAAGTTCCTTTTCCTTTCTTATCTGGTTTCTTGGGTTGTGTATTTCTCCCATATTCATCCCCATCTCTTCCCTGCTCACCTTGGAACTATCAGAAATGCAGACCATCTTAGTTCCTGCCAAGAAACTCAGGGCTCAGGATGTGGTAGTCAAGAAGAGATCAGGCCCCAGAACTGTCTTCCTCCCTGGACCAGTGCTTGAAAGAATCCTGGGAGGACTCCCAACTGTTTATGCTCATATTTCCATCTGGCTTCTTTCCCATCCTGTGGCATTAATTCCTCACCAGATGCAAAGCAAGCATGCCTGCCGGTACAGACCACAGTTCAGGCCCATTTCCGAGAGAAATTGTTTCAGGGCCTCAACTTGGGAACCCTAGGCTTGGCCAATCCATTTGTAGAACAGCCAGCAGGCTTGCCCATTCTCTGCCCCTGAATTGGGAGAAGCATGTTCCTCCACTGGACTGCAGGCACCATGGGCCTTCCCACACTTGGAAAGAGTAGTATAGGAAGGAAAATGTATATTAACAAGCACTATCTGAGGCTGCCACAAGCCAGAGGAAAGAGAGGCTGTGTGTCAGGTGATAAGGAGGAATCACAGTTGTCCTTGTCCTGCAGATTAAAGGACCATTCTTATCTGGCCAATGACTCAAACTTGATAAGTTTCCAGAAACAGCTTCTGCTGATGACTTGTGTGTTGACATGTCCAACTCATGATGAGCTCTTCAGATAGGATTTCCAGGTGACCCTTAGGGGAAAAAATGCATTTACTTCAACACAAAACTCTGCTTCTGTTGAGGAATCAAGAAGGGACAACCTAAAAAGTAGTGTCAAAAGCCTCCCCAGCAGAGCTGAAATGGCCTTGCAAAGGGTTCATGTTCAGGTCCAACTGGAGGGCTTTGGCTCCAAACACATGCTTCCTGTCCCAAACCCACCCCCCACCGCCACCTCTTTGCAAAGAATTTTATTTTTTGCTTTTTTGGTTTTAAGATTTATTTATTTTGAAAGGTGGGGTTATAGAGGGAGAGAGACAGAGATCTTCCATCTGCTAGGTCACACCCAGGTGCCCACAATGGCCAGTGATTGGCCAGGCCAAAGCCAGGAGCCAGGAACTTAGAGCTTCATCTGGGTGTCCCACATGGGCAGCAGGAACCCAAACACTTGAATCATTTTTCTGAGATGAGCAGGGAGATGGATTGGAAGTGGAACAGCCGGGACATGAATGACTGCCCACATTGGGATTGGATGCTAGCATCACGGGCAGCATAGCTTAACCCACATGCCACAGCACCAATACTATACAAACTTGGCTAGTTCTGTCATTATTCTCTGTCGCAAAAGGCTCTGGCTACTCTGACATCTGTGGAGCCCATTTGGAATTCCTTGGAAAAGAGCTAGCCAGATCTGTGGAAAGCACGCGTGTGCGCACACGCGCGCGCACACACACACACACACACACACACACACACACACACACACACGCACACATGCAGCCCTTCTGGCAGCGAGTCTCGAAGGCTGCAGCTACTGTATGGAAAATGAACTGAGATTCAAGGCACCCTCACCTCTTCCTCCTTTCTCCAGCCTTTGTGATTCAGAGATAACAGTGAGATGGAAATGCCAGAATTCCAGTTTGGCTTGTAACAATGGCAACTCAGGTGCCTTCGATGCACAGTGTACAGTGGACATCTGGGGAAACATTTAAAGCAAGAGAAGGCTGAAAGGAGTGGCATTGTGTGACTGCCGGCTAGGTTAGCGAGAGAGAACATGCAGACTATTATCTTGCTTGTCTCCCCACACGGAAGCAAGCAATCAATAGTACACTGACAAAATTTGTTTAAAACAGTTTAGGTTAATGATTAAACCATGAATTCAGTTCCCAAGCAAGGCTGTGAAATCACTTTTTCAAAGGTAGGGTAGACAATAGCTGGATGTCATCCATGTGGGCCTCCCTTTCCGAAGAGTTTGGACAAACACTGGAGCGCATCACCTAACCAGATGGCCCGGATTCTTGGCCCTTGTTACCCCGTTTCCCTGACATGTGTGCTGGGTGTTTGGGAAGGCAAGATAGCATAATAGTTAATATCTCAGGTTTGAATCCAGACCCATGAATCGGCAACACCATGATGTTGGCCATATTGAATTTCTCCAAGCCTCAGTTTCCTCTTCTGGAAAAATAGAGCCAGTTAATAATCTATGTCCAGAGGTATGGGAAGAATTAAATGAGTTCATGACTATTAGCACAGCATGTAGCATACCTAAATGTAAATTGCTGTTATTTATCCTTAGTTCCATAAAAGTAGTTGCTGCTGAGCCTGCCTTATTGAGTCACTTAGTGGGAGCGGGAAGAGTTAGAGAATTGGTCTTGGTGACTAAGGATCCTCTACTCAGGGATGGGAAAGGAGAGAGGTGAAGATTTGTGGAGTCACCTGCTAAATGTTGATATCATCTCAACACAAGACAGCCCTGAAACAGGACCCATCAAAAGAGAAATTGATGAGGTCACCAGACACAAGGGACCACTGGCCTTGACTGATAGGAAACTCATGCCAGGCAGTAGAGAGGGGTTAGGCTAGAGTAATTTGTATTTGAGCCCACCATACACATACACTTCGTGGATATTCTAGGGGAGTGGAAGGGACTGATAGAAGTGTGTGAAATAAAGTCCCAAACAGTTTTCTAAAACTGCTTATGAATCACCAGCATTGGCAATATGCCTCCTGAGCAGATTGACCTCTTGAGATATGGTGATGCTGTTTTCCGGGCACCTAGGTCTGCCGATGCATACTCACTGGTGTTGGCTAACCATGAAGAGGTCATCTCACCAACCAAGCCCCAACTGGACGTGCTGGTGAGGTGGGAGCTGAGATGCGCCCCAGCATCCACCACCGGACAAGCATGGTTCTGTTGACTCATAAAGAGTGGACAGTGTTTACAAGCAAAAGCACAATGCACATGGGAGAGCTCTAAGCAGAGAATGGTAATTCCAGGTTTAGTAGAGTCAACTGGAAACCACAGTACAGCTTCTAGGTGACAACAGAAAAGGATCAGGGACTTCTGACTTTTCCAGAGCTCCTGCAACAGCCCAAGGACAAGAGTGACAGGATCACCTTAACCCAACCCTGTTGTCTGAGAAGTGGGAGCTTCTCCCCTACAGAGCAGATGGCAAATGATCCCTATCCCCCAGCTCTAGTTAGCCTGGCTCGAGGAAGTGCACTTCCTTCCTGAGCTACGGGCTTGGCACAGGCCCAGCCCTTGGGAAAGTGCAACTCAGTCCCAGACGCTGGCCTGCTCACTTTCCCCTGCCTCAGAAGGCACAGTATCGCAGTGTTTACAGCACATTAGCTGGGCTGTGCCACAGGCAGTGAGTCAGCAGGCAAGAGTATTACCCACACACAGGCATCCTCAGATGACATTTCTTGCGGCAAAGAACACCGATTGGCCCTATCTTGCACAAGCCTATCTTTGTGGGGGTAGTCAGGATGGGTGGCATTTCTCTCGGTCGCTATGCTGCTCTCTCCCTTTGAGTGTGTAGGCCAGAAGGGACCTCCAGAGCTCAGACCTCTTCAAGGGGCTCCTTGAAATCAGCAATGATCTGGTGGACAAGGTTACAAGGTTACAGAGCTTTGGGTGGAAAGCTTTCCGTGAGACTGTAAAACAACACATGTCAAAAGGGAATTTTCAACTCTTAGAGAAACTGAATTCTCAAGCAGCTAGAGTTGGAGACTTTTTATATGCAGGAGGATGCTGAGATACAGGCATTACAGCTTAAGGTCATGCAACAAATTTACCCACAGGTATCCTGAACTCATTTAACCCAGTGCTATTTATTGCTCTCCCATTCTGCCCCCAAATCCTAAAACTCCTACTTCCATGGAATAAAAAAAAAAAAAACAGCAAAATAATGCCACTTTCTAAAAAAAAGAAAAAAAAAACTAACACCATCTGTTCAGGTTACCAGAATGAAATACCATCAGCCAGGTAGATTTTAAATAGCAGAAGGATATTTCTTACAGCTTTGGGGACCGAGAAAGCCAAGTTCAAGGAGCCAGCAGCTCCTGTGTCTGGTGAGGGTTCATTAGCAGATGTATAGATGGCATGTTCTTTCTGTGCCCTCCCATGGGGAAAAGGGCTCAGGATTTCTCCACAGCCTCGTAACAATCTCTCCCCAAAGGTCTGGCATCCTAAAACCAACACACAAGGCAGAGGCGAAGGCAATGGCATTAAACTCCAATACACAAATTCTGAAGGGGTATAAACATGTAGCCCCTAGCAATCCCTCAAATAGCCAAATGTCCAATTCAGTTGGATTTCCACAAACCTTAGCTGATCAAGCCCAGGGGCATCCCTCAGCTCCATTCCACAACTTCAGGAACCAGGAACCAGGATGCAGTCAGGGCAGCAGCACACTCACTGTGCTATGTGTGGGAATGAGCAGAAGCCTGTTAACTTAGAAGTTCACAGCTCAGTGACTATCAGGACAGCAGCGCTGATCAAATATTTACAATCAGAATTCATTATGCATGGCTCTTAACAGCTCTGTGTTAATTTGATGGCCTGTGTTGCTGAATAATGTGTGAAAAGTACAGAGAGATGAAGAAGTGAAAGCTGTACAGTTAAAAGGCTTGGTGCACCCAGGGAGTGGGACAGTTCTGCCATTGTCACCAAGTATGTCCTGAGGTCAGGAGTTCTCATCCAGCTCCACCTTTCTTGACACAACTCCACAGCGCTGACACTTGGCCTAATGGACTGCATACTCAGAACTTCACAAACTGTGAAGTTGGCAGTTGAGGGGCACTGGTGTTGGCTGTGTGGTAGGAGCTCCATGGAGGTCTTCCCTGGCACCACTACACAGGTTTGCAGGAGCTCTATCAGCCAGGAACTCCAAGGTAGGGATGGATTAACACAGCAACGTAAGGGTTAGGGCCACACATCACCTCTCCAGCACTTGCATGAATGTCGATTCGGGTGTACTCCATGACATGGCCGCCCCAGCCAGGGCTATGATTTCTTTGTTGAACACATCAAGAAGAGGAGGAGGAGACTCCAGTTGCCATAGGTTTTTACTGGAGTAATGGGTATTGCCATCTTTCAGGATGGTTGCCCTGAATTACATCACTTTACTAGTTGTTAAAAGACCAGAGAATCTAGTCATGAAACAGGTGACAGGATATTCTGCAAAGCACGGCCTGCACAGAATCACTTGTTCAGGGTTTGAGGGAACTCTGAGCTGCTGAACGCTACCCCTGCTCACTGCTGCCACCGTTCAGCCTCCCTCTGCCTTCCAGTTCACATCAGCATATGGGTTCTGTGGAAGAGTCCTGGCTAATGCAAGCAAAAGCAGGTATAAGTTTAGATTCTGTAGCTGCATGCCATTTCTTCACTGCATCCTAGGGCTTCAGCTAGGCTTCGGAAACTGTTGGGTGATCCAGTGGTATCAACTACTCCCGTTTATAAAGACCTAACATTTTAATAGACCACACTCCTCAAACAACAGTGAAAGAAACAGCAACATCAAAGTCTGGATATGGTCCATTAGTCAACCCACATCTGTAGCACAGCTTCATTGTCAAACATTTAAATTGGTTGACTGCCCTGGCTGAATATTGAGTACTTCACTGCATATTGTCTATCTCTCTACAAACTGTAAACTTTTAATATATCATGAGTCATCAGACAACACCTAACATTTCAGGATTTTTTTTTCCATTTGTTTCTTCAGTTTCCACTGAAGCATACCTTGTAGAGAGCTCTGCCCACCTGCTCAAAGGCAACAGCAAAAATATCATGAGAAAGAGTAAGAAAATACAGTGCTTAATGAACTATGTGTGCGAATGGTGCCCATGTGGCGGTGCCACTGGGGTAGTGATGATGAGCTGCCATTGAGAGCAGAGTCCAGGTGCTGCTGCTCATTGTCCCTACGGGCAGGCAGCCTCACAGTGTGAGTCCCCTGCTAATGAGGTCTCATTTCTCTCTCCCTTTCTTTTCCTTAGCTCGCTATGAAGCACAAATGTTGAGGACCTGCCTGTCCTGGTGACCCTCTAAAGAGAAATGGAAGAGATTGTTCAGCAGTTCTTACAAGAATTCTGGACCTCTACCTGCTTCTTTCTTTCCAGTACATGGACATTAAGAGTGTCTCGTTTTTCCTTCTCTGACATTAAGATGAAAGGAAAGGTGTCATGTTTTTGCATTTCTCTAGTGATCTAGCTAGGAAACACTAAGTAGCATCAGCTTGTTGTCAGTTGTTTTTCCGTGTGTGTGTGTGTGTGTGTGTGTGTGTGTGTGTGCTTGAATGTATTTTTCTTTTTTAAAAAAATAATTTTTTGTAGTTTGGATAAAAAAAAATGTGGACCAAATGATAAACTGAGCTGTGTCTAACCTGGCAACATGTATTTTGTTTTCCCTGCTAAAAGAAACAGGAGGACATTTTCATGTGGTGATATCAGATATTATTGTTCCTAGGTGGAAAGAAGAATCAAGCAGTTACAGTGTCTGTTCACTCTTCAGCTTGTCTTAATTTGAAGCATAAAGCTAAAATTCTGTATCTGAAGACATGATTCTGTATTATGAAAAAATTTGAATTTATCAGGAAAGACAATAGTCTTAAATTTTGCTCATAGCTTAGTAATGTTCTGCATGAACCATCACCAGCATTCCAAAAAAAAAAGGAAATCAGAATCCCAGAAATCTGCTTTCTGAGCTGCACCTTAAATACTTCTGCTAGTTATTTCTCAGCTGATTATTTGGAATTACCATGTGAAGGGTAAAAATGTGATAGCAGTGACCTAAGGAAAAGCCTGCTCAACAACTTCTGTGTATTCATGGATGTTTCTATCGTCTGTTACTGTCACAAATTATAGTGGCTTGGGTTTTTATCAGAAATGATCTGCCTAGGTAAAAGTCTGTGTAGATAATAGTGTAAAAAGATGCTGTGTTTTAAATACCTTTTTCTCTTCACAAAGTCCTGCCTATTTTAGGCACCCACATGATGCCCTTGGGAAAGGGATGTTAGTTTCTTGGTATCTAGTTTGGAGAGCTGTTGATGTTACTGTGGTCTATTTATTTAATATAATATGTGGCTTTCTTGAGGAATTGCATTTTGTGGCAATTGCAACTTGCCTAGTCTGACATAAATCAGTGTGGTCACGAAGCCCTTACTCTGCAGAGTTGGTCACGCACCTCCTGATCTTGTATGACTCAAGATAATGCTGGGTATGTAAGTTTGTTTTCTAGAGGATTTAAATGCTCAACATAAAACAGTTGAGGTTTTATCTTTATGAACCAAGGGGGTGTGAGTACCAATGCTCTGTGAGCTGTGCATCTACTTTTAAGCTGCCCAAATCTTCACCACTCTTTTCTGCCCCTTTAGATCCCTTGACCAATTGAGCCTTTGCATATCGTGGTCTCTTACATAGCAGTGTAAGATGACTTTGGGGTGATTAATGCTGATTTAAATAGCTTAAATTCTTCTGATAAAGCGTTCCCAGGGTGATAAAGTTTATTAGCAAAAAAGAAAAAAAAAACCTAGCATGTGTCAAATGGAGTTGGGATTTGCCATAGTCTAGTTTCTGAATCTTAGATAATCCAATTCAAGAAAATCCTCAGTAAACATTTATATAGTAAACTACACAGGTTTACCATAGTATTTCATACTATGCCCTAAAAGTCTAATGAAACAGGAAACATGCCATTTGGTGAGTACTGCTAGAAGCATTTGTAAGTTCTAACAAGAGATCCAAGTATTACTCCAAATGAGTTGTTTCCAGCCTCTTTTTGGAAAACATGGGAGAGATGGGGGAGAGAAGGCATGGAAGGGAGAGTGAGCCTTATCTTCCCAGTGTAGGTGTTGCTTTTAGAGCTAGATAATATATATAAGTGAAAGAATAAATCTAAAACCCCCTAAATCAGCCAAGCTGCAATAAAATCGGTGGCCAAGTATTTAACAGTGATTTGGGGACACTGCTTTTAAAGCAGCAGAGGTTGTGGTCCTTAGTGGACTGTGAGATCTCAGATCCTCACTTCCTGGGCAAAACTGTGAGAGTCCACACCACATGCTGTTGCCTCACTGTTCCTTTCCTTTCAGGCTAAGTCAGACTGGAAATAGCTGTGATTAGAAGAAAGTCCATCTGAGTCTTTATTAGCTTCCTCTTATTGATTTGTTTCCAAGCCCTGGTCATGACCTTAACTTCCCACCAACCCAGGGCACAAAGCAGGAATCCTGCCCTTGTGTACCCCCTTGGGCTATACAGAGAGCCCCAGGATAACCCGTGTGGAGTTTCGTACTATCCTTCAATGGAAGTTGCTGCAATACAGAGTGCTGATAAAACAAAACCAGGAGGAAGCAGCAAAAATGACTCACACCATCTGGAACCCACACACTCGACGGAGCTTTCTAGAAGACATTTCACTTGTGTGTTCTCTCTGCATCTCGCCATGAATTGGGGAGTGCTGTTTTTCTGTGAAGGACTTCTCAAATTGTACTGGCAACACGTGAAGGGAAGCAGCTTTCCAGTGTTCCCACTTATTCCTGGAATGTAGCTGTAGTCTTCTTTCCTAGCATTATTAGATTCCTGTGTACAGGATGTATGCAGTGATTCAGATCCATGTTTCCTGTTAAAGAATGTATTTGTAAAATGTAACAAGAGCAGTAGTTAACTTTTTTAAGCTCTGAGAAAACTAAGATTAAATGTTAGACTTATAATTACAGTGAAATCTGTCTTTCTACTACTTTTGTGGCTAGCAAAGGTTGTGCATTTATGTAAAAAAAATACTTACAGAATGCCCTAACTCAAAGACAATAAAGATAGGTTGTGCTCTTACTTTTTAGAATTGCAACATTGCCAATGTCTATTGTAATTACTAATTCTTCAGAAGTTCTCTAAGATGTCAAAACATAATTTTCATTTTGTTCAGAGAAGTAACACCTGCTCTGTGGATTCACTATTACAACAAATACTAAATTTGTCATTAAATATTTTAACTGTGATGAAAGTTTGTTGCTCTGAGTTATTTGTAAACTCTAAAGCACTGCAAGGTAGTCCCACAACACACTTTGGATGATGATGGGAAAATCTTGTGAGCATGCTAGACTGCGGGATTGGATTAGCATGACAAAGCTTCAAGATACTTGTTCTGATGGACCAACTTGCAATATGAAGATTAAAGGAGTAACCTTAGACAATGGGCATCTATCCTAATAGTGCTGTTTTGTTTTTGCTTGTCATGGGTGAGACACTCAATAGTTACCCTTCTGCTAATATCAGTGTTGTAGCCAAGCACTTCAAACAGATACACTCATTCTGTAGATCAGTGTTAGGGCCTTGTCAAGTGGGCAATTGTAGCACCTGATGGGAAATCAACAGCAGCACATTGTATGCTCCTGTGTTTTCGAGGGAAGTGACACAGGTGACTGTTATAACACACAGCATCTCAGGCCTAGCAGGGACACTCAGGGTAGCCAGCAATATTTTGAAATACCAATGAGAACACTGCAGCAGGAAGGAAAAGAGAAGAGAAGATAAAGTTAGGGTTTCCCTAGATGACAACCTAGCCCTAAGTTAGTTAAGCCTTTCAAGGCATCTGTTGTTTATGAACTAAATTCTGTAAGCCAATTGCCTCTCAAGGATGATCTGCTTAATGTAAGTTAAGTTTGTTAATGTGAATTTGGTTAACAGGGATACCATGACAAATTCTCACATGTTCTAGGAGAATGAATACAAAAAAAACATTTTTAAAATATCACTGGAGCTCTTCCTCTTCCTGTCAGAGGGCACATGTTTAGGGAAAACCTTTGAGATCATGACCATCACCTGTCTAAACAGCATTTTGGAGTGGCTGGGGGAATGGAAATGGGGAGTGAAGAGGGAATGGCAAAACAGAAGTAAATTTCAAACCAAACTGCAAATGACTAACAGTTCTTGCTGTTGACACGGGTTCTGCATGCCTCATGATGCCAGGGACTTGTATGGTGTGTAGCTAGGTGGACCTGGGTATGTTCTCATAGATTTGTGCCCCTGGAAACCCCCTGGAGTCCCTGTGTGACACCCTCTTGCCCATCTGGACATGGGTGGGTGGGAGATGGTACTTCCAGGAATCAGTAAAACTTTTGTCAATTCCTTGCCTGGGGATGGGGTACACATGATCACAGCATGAAGAAGGCACAGACTTAAAAGACTGGGGAAAAGAACGCCCACCCAGCAGGCCAATGTTATGGTGTGTCTCTAAGTGTAACATCACAGAATGCTCTAGCAAGATACTCGAAGGATGCATCTTCTTTCCATTTGCTTTTAATACTTCACACGGTACATGGAGGATGATTTTGCGCAGGCAAGCCAGCCTGATGCAAATCTGTCTTTATTTATTCCTTCCACTCAACCTGTTTAAGTTCTCTTCTCCCCTCCACACCTTTCTTTTTGTTCCCTGGTGCTTATGAGTGTATCTGATTTAGCCCACCCTTCCTAAGAGGATTGCTCTAAATAAAGTGCTGTGGTATAGCAAGTTCAAGGCAGCCCCTCTGCCCTTAAAAGTGTCTCCACCAATTGGAGAGTTTCTAGAAACACACTTGACTCCCAAATCTGCCATTTGGATGTCCCCTGATCATCCTGGCTTTTGGAAAAAAAAAAACGTAGAGACTCCACTAGGCCCCTGGTAGGACACCTTGCATTTCAGATGATTGCTGGAATTAAAGCAACTAATCAAGGATGCCACAGGAACTCAGTGCTAGTATCAAGTTCAGCTCTGTGCTCCCTTGAGCTTCATCTGGAGCCTCGGGAGTTCCTGAGTCACACTTTGCATGTCTCCCTCCCACTCCTGAAATTCTCTGTCATGATTCTTCTTTCTGGGAAGTCAAGGTCCTGGCCTCACAGGTCTTCAAGGCCCTTGCTCTAGTGATCCTCCACCGGGCACCACTGGAGGTAATGCTGAGTGGCATTGCCACCCTCAACCTACAGGAACGTAAGGACAGCCCACAGGGGTCTGACTTGGTACTTGACACGTGTGACCATTGCTCCCTTATTTTCCCTACTGGACATTTCAAGTGCTGCTGATTCTCTCGCAGTGGAGATCTTTTTGAAGAATGTTACGGTTATTCGTGTTTCAGATGATCACCTAGTCCTGATTATAGGGGGCCTATTCTCATTACACATCCAGACTTAGAACTGTCAGCTGCTGGGCAGGGAATACCAGCCCTGCAAGACCCAGGTGTCACTTGTCAATATTTGGTACTGAGCCTTGGTCCATGACATTGTGTCACAATTGCTTTGCCGCTTTGTTATCTGTCATATGACAGAGAAGAAAAATGAGGCCATGGATTCTCTGAATGCTCAATGAGATCTAAAACGTGGCTTGGATGCTTTTCTGAAGATAGTTCCTGATCCAGTCTCTGCCACATGCACCAAATGATTGGCTTAATTGTAGCACTGCGTCCCTGATGATTGAAGCCCAAGCTTGCTGTTAGTTTTCTTATGACAGGTCCTTTCCTAATTTTCAAGGAAGGAAAGTCGGGTCCCTCACATGGGGCAATTTTTTTAAGGCCAGCAGTTACAATGGCCAATATTGGTAGACATATTTATGCTGACCAGAAACTTTCTGGTACTGAGGGAGTCTGACCATTTGTACAAAAATAGAAAATAGGGAAACAGGAATGTATGAATTGTGCCCCACCCTACAGTCCCCAGGAAGTAAATAAAATACAGCGCCTTTTTGTTGTGCTGCATGGGGACAGAGCACCCCCTTGTGGTGACTTATTGGTGCTAGCATTACCTTGTAAGAAAGAGTGGCTCCAATCTATTGCCAACAACAATAGACTCTTTTCATTATGTGTTTAAAGTTTATTTATTTATTTGAAAGGCATCATGACAGCACAAGACAGAGAGTGAGATCTTCCATCAGCCCCGAAGTGCCCACAACAGCCTCAACTGGATGCAAGAGACCTAAGTACTTGAGCCGTCACTCGCTGCCTCCCAGAATGACATTAGCAGGAAACTCAGTAGGAAGAGGGGCCAACAGTTCATCCCAGGCACTCATTATTGAAAAGCACCCATCCTGAGCAGCAGCTTAGCCCACTGCACTACATACCCAGCCCTCCTTGTGTCTTTAATCTGTCCCTTACCACTTTCCCTTCTCAGAGAACAAATGATGTCTCCTCTAGTATCAAATCTTTTTTTGAAAACTTCCCCTTGCCTTTGTTAAATCCTATACCTTCTTCTTCCCACTGCTCTTCAACAAGTGCATGCGTTGTCTGGACCCAACACACTATGGGTCTTTCAAGGATGTCCCAGCCAAATGGGGGGGACACAATGCAATGACCCCATTCTCACCAGCAGAAATGGATTCTTCTAATCCCTGCTTCTCTGTCCTGCCTAATATCCCACAAGGGGGGACACTTCCACTCCTTCCTCTGGTGTGCTTTCTTCCCAACCATAGTTTCCCAGAAATTCTGTCCTGCCACCCTTCTGTCCTTACACACTTTTTCTGAGTCAATTAAGTATTCCAAAAGCTCATTTTAAAACTTTAATGCAATAATTGATGCATTCTCCAAAAGGTTTGTGGAAAGTCATATGATGACAAAAATCACACATGGATTTGAAAAAGTTTTCAATGAAATAAACTTATATTTTGATTTCACTTTTCCATGGGCTTTTTGAAGTCCCCACACGTTGCTCCAGCCATGACCTTTCTCCTAAAGTCCTAAATTGAACTTCTGACTTTCCTGTTAGAAATTTCCACCTGACTCGTAAGTCTAAATCTCAGTTGATTTCTGCCTACAAACTTGTTTTCCTTCTCTTAACACACTAGCCAGCCTTAAAACCAAGTACTCCTTTATTCTCCTTCCTTTCACTCAACTATAAACTAGGAATAATAGTAGTGTGTATATCATGGTGTTGGATAGGAATAAAATTTTATCATAAGGCCATCAAGAACAATGTTTGTTTTAATCAATAGCACCCATTTGGCAGATTGCAAGCCTGTCAACTCTGCTTTCTTTCCACTGCCTCTCCTGTTCATCATTTCCACCAGTCTAGTTCTACTCATCAATGCTTAGCCGAGCAACTCCAGTTGGTTGCTATCCCTCAGTAGTCTACGCTCTGTCACGTGTTTTACGTGTAGTGTTGTAAGGACATTCCCAGGCAGGAGAGACACTAAGATAAAGCATCCCATCTCAAATGTTTCTTGTGTCTATTCTTACAAGAAAAACAAACATATAAATGGAATATAACCTAAAATAAAAGTAGGGCTACACCAGAGATTAGGAATGAAAGCAACATTCTTGCCTTCACTGTACCTGCAAGTTAGGCAGATTCATCTTCAGAAAGGTTGAGTCTGATCATTAATCTCAGAGCTCACAAACTCATCTGCCAACAGATGCCAAAAGGGAAATAGAATCAGTTGTAGAAGGTGTGAACTGTGTCAAACAGAAAAGGCTGAAGTATGTGTCCCCAAGGCAAGTGTTGTTACTGTTTCAGCTTTTGTGGCAACAAGGATGCAGCCCAGTAAATCATTCAACTTTTTGTTTAACTTTTTAAAAATTTCGTTATTTTTCCCTGAAAAGTTATAGATTTGTGAAGAGGGAAGCCAAAAAGAGATCTATCCACTAGTTCATTCCTCAAATAGTCCCAATGGCCAGAGCTGAGCCGATCCGAAGCCAGGAGCCAGGAGCTTCTTCTGGGTCTCCCATGTGGGTGCATGGTCCCAAGGCTTTGGGCCGTCCTTGAATGCTTTCCAAGGCCACAAGCAGGGAGCTGGATGGGAAGCAGGGCTGCCGGGTCTCAAACCATCATCCATAGATTATCCAGCTACAACATCATACATGCCCCTGATCATTCAACTTTTTAAAAGAGAAACCTCCCATTTGAAAGGACAATCTCCCCTTAGAGCCAAACAAGCACATCAGTAAAGAATAATACCTGGTGCTTGGCTGTCAGTCTGGGAGTTCTTAGTATGTCACTGTCTGCCCCCAAAACCTCTGAGACATTCTCATTAAGTGCAAAATA